TTAACTACATAAGATGCTCTTCTTGTAAAAAGCAAATATTTCTTATGTACAATACATTTACATAATAAATTAGTGTAAGGCAAGCGTTCTAATATTAATTTTTTTATCTATATCATCAAGGTTGCTGTTGTTATCCCACTTTTTCTGTCGTATGACTAAACTTTATAACAGTATTTTTAGCAAAAACTTGTTTTTATGTATCAAGCCAAAGTAACATTCTGAGAAAGTATACTTGAATACATATGCATATAAATTCTTTTATTTTTGCATTCTTTTATTTTCATTTTTGAAATGTATAGTATCAATCCTACTATTTTGAACTCCAGATTATTTTATATACACTAATCGTTGAAATGGCTTTACTATACAAGATGTATAAAATTAATCTTTTCTGATAGCAAGAATTTTTGTAAATTAGTAGTTTATCAGAGTGATAGTTTTACAGCAATATCTGAGAACGAATATATTGTTATGAAGTTCTTATCACTTAATTGCAATGTACATGAAGACCATTCTTATTGCTCGTTATTGTACATTAAACGTAAACGAAATATACGTACGTCTCCATCTTTATCCATTACGCACACAATCGCTTCTGGACTGGGTTTTTCTGTAAACCACAAGTTAGGAATGTGACAACTCAATAGCAAAATTTCTGTTTGCATGCTATAATTAAACCTGCAAAATTTATGCATCGATCTGATATGAATTAAAATTTTTGTTTTTTACAGAATGGTGTTAAAAACGAGTTTTTTTTTTATCGGAATAACACTAACTATTTAAAAGTATGTTTCTCTAAAAGTATATAACTATATACATTCATTTTTGTATAAGTGCACCAATTTCAAAATTTAATAAATCTTATAATCGTATTAATGTAAAAATGTACCTACTTTGTATTTTAAGAAGACATCGATAAAACATTGAGTAAATAAAATATTACTTTTTTCATGTATATAATTTTTTGAAATTATATAATTTTGAACACAAGCAATTTTATCCTACACGATCGTTATATTGGGGAAATCTTTAATTGGGAAATCACTTTATTACGAAATACGCATAGATCTAGCTAGGATGGAAAACTTCTATGTCGACGTAATTACTTCTTTGTTAATTGGGAAAAGTTGGGTAGAACTCAAAGTGAATTTACATAATTATGCACATTTGTTCTTAAGTAGCTAACGTAAATCAGTCAGTCATAGAATTGTCGTTTTCTCTACCGCGGACGCGAAATTCTTGAGAGAAGCTCCCGGATAGACACCAAAAATCGTTAAAGATGCATATTAATACGTATTTCCTTAGAGAGAGGAACATATATCACCAATCTGGTTCACATTTTAAATGTTCAACTGTGAAGTTACTGTCATCACAATACTTATTTTATATTCTTCTTCACATTCCTTCCATTGTTTTGAATGTTAATATTTACCAGCCGTTCCGCTCTTCTCCTCGAGGCACTTGCCGAAATTTGCATAAAACTTTTCGAACCTCGCTTGGTTTATACCGTAAACAATCGTCTGGAAAAATTTATCACAATTAAATACACAAAAAATGTCTCGCTTAGAAAATAACGTACGAGAAATATGTATCAATCTATAACTCAGCTAAATTATTATTTTGTGCAAGAAGTCGCAAGTTTGAATTTATAAACTTACGTCTTTAAAAGTTAAAATTGTACAAGTACGTATAGTTACAAAAGAATTCTTTCTTATGACATTATTGATTAATTATAGATAATTTTTCTTATTTCGCGAATAACTTCAAAGAAGGACTTTAGATTATTTTGTCGTTTAAGTTTTCACCCTTGAAAAATCGATCTATTAATAAGATTGGAATTATTTTATCAAGAATAATATTGAATACGAATATTAAAGGAAACTTTGTATGTCGCGAATTGAATGTATAAACTAGTAATATATATATCTGTAAAGGGAAATATTCGAACGTAGATTTCAAATCGGAGATTATATCGAAGTATTCTTCAAATAAAATTTTTGATGCAGATTTAAGTAATTAAGTAATAAAATGTTTGATTTTGTGGCATTTTATTTTTCGCTATTAGTAGAGTGTAATATTAATATTAGATCTGTCGCGTTGATCTTCAATTTTATATATTTTTGTATACCATGTTGCAAATTATGTGTAATTCAAAAATGAACTTTATGTATTGAAATATATGAGTTTAGTGCTCATGAAGATAATATACTGTATAAGAGCACGGTGAAGTTTATTTGTTTTCTCATACTTACTATAACAGATAGTACAGTCACGATAATCATTAAAGTCTTCATTTTGAATTTTTCGAATATGTTTGTGTCACGAAGTTGCACCGTAGACTATTTTTCTTTGACGTAGAATCTTCGTATTTATAGAGGTGTGGCCGTGATGTAAAAGAACTATATAGTTTGTTAATATAGATATGATTTATGATGATAAGTGCTGATTTACAAAGCTAAAAAATAAGGTCGTTATTAGACAATAAAAATCTGCGTGATAAAAAAAGTAATTTATGTGGGTCATATATTTCGTACATTGTAAATTACACACACGAAAAAAAATTTTGGTTGAATTAACCAAATATCTGGTTGAATATGAACGATCCAGAAATTCCGATTGAAGAAATCCAAATTGTGTTTAAGTCAACCATAAATCTTATTAACTTAAACCATAAATCTTATTAACTTAAATAGAGTTCGGGTTACTTCAATCGGAATTTCTGGATCGTTCATATTCAACCAGATATTTGGTTAATTCAACCAAAATTTTTTTCCGTGTGTGTAATTTACAATGTACGAAATATATGACCCACATAAATTACTTTTTTTATCACGCAGATTTTTATTGTCTAATAACGACCTTATTTTTTAGCTTTGTAAATCAGCACTTATCATCATAAATCATATCTATATTAACAAACTATATAGTTCTTTTACATCACGGCCACACCTCTATAAATACGAAGATTCTACGTCAAAGAAAAATAGTCTACGGTGCAACTTCGTGACACAAACATTTTCAAAAAATTCAAAATGAAGACTTTAATGATTATCGTGACTGTACTATCTGTTATAGTAAGTATGAGAAAACAAATAAACTTCACCGTGCTCTTATACAATATATTATCTTCATGAGCACTAAACTCATATATTTCAATACATAAAGTTCATCTTCGAATTACACATAATTTGCAACATGGTATACAAAAATATATAAAATTGAAGATCAACGCGACAGATCTAATATTAATATTACACTCTACTAATAGCGAAAAATAAAATGCCACAAAATCAAACATTTTATTACTTAATTACTTAAATCTGCATCAAAAATTTTATTTGAAGAATACTTCGATATAATCTCCGATTTGAAATCTACGTTCGAATATTTCCCTTTACAGATATATATATTACTAGTTTATACATTCAATTCGCGACATACAAAGTTTCCTTTAATATTCGTATTCAATATTATTATTAATAAAATAATTCCAATTTTATTAATAGATCGATTTTTCAAGGGTGAAAACTTAAACGACGAAATAATCTAAAGTACTTCTTTGAAGCTATTCGCGAAATAAGAAAAATTATTTATAATTAATCAATAATGTCATAAGAAAGAATTCTTTTGTAACTATACGTACTTGTACAATTTTAACTTTTAAAGACGTAAGTTTATAAATTCATACTTGCGACTTCTTGCACAAAATAATAATTTAGCTGAGTTATAGATTGATACATATTTCTCGTACGTTATTTTCTAAGCGAGACATTTTTTGTGTATTTAATTGTGATAAATTTTTCCAGACGATTGTTTACGGTATAAATCAAGCGAGGTTCGAAAAGTTTTACGCAAATTTCGGCAAGTGCCTCGAGGAGAAGAGCGGAACGGCTGGTAAATATTAACATTCAAAACAATTGAAGGAATGTGAAGAAGAATATAAAATAAGTATTGTGATGACAGTAACTTCACAGTTGAAACATTTAAATTATATAATTTTGAACACAAGCAATTTTATCCTACACGAACGTTATATTGGGGAAATCTTTAATTGGGAAATCACTTTATTACGAAATGCGCATAGATCTAGCTAGGATGGAAAACTTCTATATCGACGTAATTACTGTTGAAACATTTAAAATGTGAACCAGATTGGTGATATATCTTCCTCTCTCTAAGGAAATACGTATTAATATGCATCTTTAACGATTTTTGTTGTCTATCCAGGAGCTTCTCTCAAGAATTTCGCGTCTGCAGTAGAGAAAACGATATTTCTATGACTGACTGATTTACGTTAGCTACTTAAGAACAAATGTGCATAATTATGTAAATTCACTTTGAGTTCTACCCAACTTTTCCCAATTAACAAAGAAGTAATTACGTCGATATAGAAGTTTTCCATCCTAGCTAGATCTATGCGTATTTCGTAATAAAGTGATTTCCCAATTAAAGATTTCCCCAATATAACGATCGTGTAGGATAAAATTGCTTGTGTTCAAAATTATATAATTTCAAAAAATTATATACATGAAAAAAGTAATATTTTATTTACTCAATGTTTTATCGATGTCTTCTTAAAATACAAAGTAGGTACTTTCTTACATTAATACGATTATAAGATTTATTAAATTTTGAAATTGGCGCACTTATACAAAAATGAATGTATATAATTATATACTTTTAGAGAAACATACTTTTAAATAGTTAGTGTTATTCCGATAAAAAAAAAACTCGTTTTTAACACCATTCTGTAAAAAACAAAAATTTTAATTCGTATCAGATCGATGCATAAATTTTGGAGGTTTAATTATAGCATGCAAACAGAAATTTTGCTATTGAGTTGTCACATTCCTAACTTGTGGTTTACAGAAAAACCCAGTCCAGAAGCGATTGTGTGCGTAATGGATAAAGATGGAGACGTACGTATATTTCGTTTACGTTTAATGTACAATAACGAGCAATAAGAATGGTCTTCATGTACATTGCAATTAAGTGATAAGAACTTCATAACCTTATATTCGTTCTCAGATATTGCTGTAAAACTATCACTCTGATAAACTACTAATTTACAAAAATTCTTGCTATCAGAAAAGATTAATTTTATATATCTTGTATAGTAAAGCTATTTCAACGATTAGTGTATATAAAATAATCTGGAGTTCAAAATAGTAGGATTGATACTATACATTTCAAAAATGAAAATAAAAGAATGAAAAAATAAAAGAATTTATATGCATATGTATTCAAGTATACTTTCTCAGAATGTTACTTTGGATTGATACATAAAATCAAGTTTCTGCTAAAAATACTGTTGTAAAGTTTAGTCATACGACAGAAAAAGTGGGATAACAACAGCAACCGTGATGATATAGATAAAAAAATTAATATTAGAACGCTTGCCTTACACTAATTTATTATGTAAATGTATTGTACATAAGAAATATTTGCTTTTTACAAGAAGAGCATCTTATGTAGTTAA